TCATTATTGATCCTGAGGAGTTTATCTGTCCTGGATTCTGTGTGTTGAGAGTTCTTATCTGTACCAGTGTACATGCTCTGGTCTAGCCAGATTTGTAAAATAGAACTGGGGTCATGATAGTGGGGGGGAGGGGAGAGGAAGCATTAAAGAACTAGGGGAATATTGTATAACCACCTGTTTCTTATGGCCCACTTAAGTAGGTAAAAAACTCAACAACCATCAAGTCAATGTGTACAGAGAGCAGGCCTCTAGGACAGGGTAGAACTGTCCCTGTGGGTTTTCAAGACTGTAACTCTTTATGGGAGTTGACTTTGTAACTCCTCACACATCTTTCTTTCTTGGGGTGGTTGGTACAATCTGACCTTACAGATTGCAGCCCAATGTGTAACCATTATGTCACATTGTGGCCCCTCACATTGCTACCCAAGTGTTTGTTTTTTAAGAGAAAGTAATAATATTGTACTGAAATTATGCATTTAAGCTACTTAAAATTCTTCTCAATTGATATCTCCTAATTGGATCATGATGTATGGTTTCATGGTGGCACAGTTATTAGGTAGTGCACTTGTAGTACACTGGTGCTAGCTGTAATGTCAGAAGTTCAAGCCCACCAGCCATGGGAAGCCTACTATGGTGCTGTCCTCCTCCATCCTAGATGATGGCTGAACCAGGAGGGCCTGCACAGCAGTGGGTTCCATGAGTAGCTTCTGATTCGTGTCCACGAATGTGTGTAAAAGTACAAAGTACTCCCTAGTGTTTTCTATGATGCATTTTTCAAAAATACATAATTAAGCCATTTATTAGTTATTGATTTACTCATATATTCATTTATTCAGTTAATTTGAAAGGGAGGGAGATTTATATTACCCAATCCAGGACTGCCTGATTTCAAATTCTATGGTCTCAATGACCTACCCTTGTCTTAGCCTTTTCTCTTCTTTTTTAAATGAAGTTCAAAAAAATTTATTGTGAGGTGCTAGGGATAGGGTTTATATTTCAGAACACATAGTCAAAGTGTGAGAAGCATTTTTTTAAATGTACTTCTGGAAGGACTTAAAACTACTAACTTTCCAAGGATTCTGAAAACTAAAACCCTATTTCACTAAGTGTATTGTGAGAATTGGTAAGGTTATACTTCTAAAAACTCTATATCTGAAATAATGTATTTCTATTACTATCACAGTTTTTAAGGAATTTCTAGACAAAGATTTTTCTTTAAATTCATTCAATATTATGAATTGTTCTCTTTTTTTCATGTGTTTAGGGCACGCAAATATTAAAGCCTTCCTGAGCCATGGTGGTTTGAACAGTATTTTTGAAACTATGTATCATGGTGTGCCTGTAGTGGGAATTCCACTCTTTGGAGACCATTATGATACTATGACCCGGGTACAAGCAAAAGGAATGGGCATATTGCTAGAATGGGAGACAGTTACTGAAGGAGAGCTGTATGAAGCACTGATGAAGGTTATCAATAATCCCAGGTAAGCTTTCAATCAATAACATAGCAGATCAATTATGCATATAATAGCTTGTTATAAATAACCTATTACTGTCAATAAATTGTTGATAAACCAACTACAATAGTAACTTGCATGTTTCTTTGTGTAATGTCTGTGTAGTGTCCTTTAAACTGGAAACTAAAAATAGCCATAGAGTGTTAGTCTGAGATTTTACAAATCTTATAAAAAGCTCCCTAGGGAACTCTCAATGGGCATTTACATTTTTATCTCATTTTCATACTTATAATGACTATATACCATAATTTCTATTATCCATGTTACAGGGATGAGGCATTTGAAATTCAAAGAGGTAAAGAAATTTTCCCAAAATTACACAGCTGTTAAGAGTAGAAATTTGAAGGCAGAACTGTCTGATTTCAAGGTTGGTGAGCTTTGTACCAGACATTAAACCTGGGTGCTGAGGTTCCCTGGCACTGGGTGTCACTGAAATACTAAAGCATGTTTACTTACATGAATGACTAATCTAAATCTTTATTTTATTTTGTTACTTCTTGCTGTATCCTGAGGTAAATAAGCCACGTCAGAGGAGTTTCAAGGAGTGGGAGGAGACCTGTGTAGTTTTAAAGCATTTTCCCTTCGTTCAGCCATGATACCAAATTCATCTTACCATTTAAATGACATTTAAGCCTTCACAGCGTGAGTGGGTTTTTGCTCTTGTTTTCAGTTGTTTTCTCCTACTTGCTGTTGAAACTTGTGTGATACAGTTTAAAACTAGATTCTGGAGCCCTGTTCTATTCTAAGGAACAACCAACAATAAGATAAATTCTTTCATATAAAATGATCCATAAATGGGATTCAAGCAAACTGAAGGTTCATTATGCTGTTTTTGTGTGGGCTCACAGGCAGCCTTCATGCTCTGGCCCCATAAAGGAGCCAGTGTCTTGGTTGCAGTTCTGGCACTTGGAGCAATATGTTCTGTGACCCGAGTGCTTGCATATATCTCTTCCTTGTGTCCTGCACTTTTTCTCTTAAGCCCCAGGGCTTTACAAAACATGTTTTTTTTTTATGAAAATGATACTTGGTGTGCTAGTCTTTAAAGGAAGCATTGTAAAACGCAGTCCGAGAGTTGGTGGCGGGTAATAGTTGCAGATCTCCTGAGAGTGGATCCTTTCCACAGAAAACAGCAAAATGCTGGATTATCTTCATATAGCCAGTGTTCTATGAGACATGAGCCCTGTTAAATCAGAGAGAAAACAGATGGTAATCATAGGCCACTCAGCAGTTAGTTCTCAGTGATATTTTAAAATATTGGGAACAAATTATATGAGCTTGTGATAGTCTGGGTACATTAGAGAAACAAAACCACAGAAACTCTTATGTATAAGAGAGAGTTTTATATAGAGGGTAAATGCACATCAAGAAAA